TCAATGCTATCTTTATGTTTTCATGTATTAGTTGGGGTCATTTAAACCAAAAAAGATTAAACAAGCTTTTTTACTTTCAAAATATTTATTGTATCTTATACAAAATTGCATAATTAAAATGCCACTCAAATATGTTGTTCACGTCTGAATTAATTTTATTAAACATGAGTAAATATTTTGATTTCTTACTGTTAGATTCGAATATAAATAATCGTAAAATGTAAATAATAAAGGGCATTTTCAGCAGCTAAGAAGACTTTAATATATCCGGAGCTTTAAGTTCCTTTGCCAGCAAATGGAATGACAACCACCAAGACAAAATGGGTTGCAATCCGGCCACAAAAAGCAAAAAATAAAGCCTTCTCTTATTACCTACAGTGGGATAATTAGAACCATAATATTGAGACTGTTGCGTCGACGTTTCCGACAAAACCTGCACCCTCAGCGTTCGTATTAAGAAGAACGCTAAGGAAAACGTCGTGTAGGTCAACGTGACGTAATATCCTGTAGTACCAGCTGCTAATGTTGCTAAAATACTTGCAATTATCGCGACAAATTTGTAACCACTAAAAGCCAGCAAATCGAAGGTACGCAGGGTCGTTTCTATGTGAACAATATATAAGGTGCAACTGTAAATAACTAACTCAACAATACACCAGGCCAAAGCTGAAGATGCCAAGATTCCAATTTGCTCAGGACTAAACCTCTGTTGCATACCTGAAATCATTATTTTAAGAATAAACAACAGACCATACAAATTACATTATATTTTTTTTTGTAAAAAGTTACCTAAGACGATTCCTGCGACTAAAACGTAGGTAACGTAAGCCATGGTTGGAATATATAAATCTGGGGCATTTATTTCAAATCTTGGCTGCACTGGACTACCATCTTGTTCATATTTCAAGGCCCAGTCCTAAATAAACATCACTAATTGTTTTAAGAAGAAATATACAGCATAATTAACTATTAGACTTACTGAGTGTAAATATGGGAAAAACAACAGTTTCAATTTAGAGGCAACATACTTGGTATCAACTGCAAAGTAGTATTTCAATTTTGATACAGGTACATACTTGTCTATATTTTGTTTTACTAAAGTCGTCCCTGTACTTGCCAACTAAAAGCAACAAGTTTTGGTAACGTTTTTCAAACAGTGGAGTATTATTTAATACCTGTTGACCATATTGATAAGCCATATCTTGAACAATTGGTTGAGCAAAAAGTGCAGGATTCATTTGAGGCTGAGGTTGCCCCATGTAGGGAGTTCCAACACTCATGTTCGGAGTCTGCGGAATATTTGGAACAAAGTTATCATTAGCATATCTTGGTTGCCCTGCAGGGTATCCTACAGGTTGGGAATTTATGTTGGGGCTTCCTGTTGGAAAAGCTGACGGTGGCGGTGGAGGTGGTGACTGTTGTTGGGAATAAGGCTGATAACCCATAGCGTTAACATCGCTCACACGTTTAATTTTTTTACCCAAATCTGAAACAGGTAAGATGCAACTGACGTCTATTTGGAGGTTATGTTAAAGAGTTTAGTATAAATTAGGAATAAAACGATTATCTTTTACTTACTTGGACGTGAACCTATGTTTGCGTTGTAATTCATACTGTAATTTTTTGTAATTAAATGAAATTCAAGAATAGCACTACCATTTTTTAAACATAAATTAAAGTTGACACGTCATGTTATGATACAGATGCTGGAAGTAGCAGATTACAAAAGTTGTATAAATAACCACTTAATAAAAAATTACTGTATTATACAAAAAAACATAATTTGTTTATAACTAAATGAATATCACACTTTTTGTTACTTTTTTCAAAAAAAACTTAAGTACTGAAACTCTATTCACTTCTCATTGGCGCACATAATTGGGGACAATCAATCATGCTTGTCTGTCAAGATTGTTTAATGATTAATTTAATAAATTTACAGCTTACAAAATATAATTTTAACATTATATGTATTAACAGAGTATTTCATTTTATTTTTAAAAATTAATTGAAAACAATTCATTTTCGTGTAATTTAATTTCGAAGAGACGCTTATGATAAGTTGAATGCAAACAAATGTCAAAGTAGAGGTTATCTTTCCTGTTTTGTCATCAAATATCTGTATTTTAATTAAATTGCACTAAATAACAATTGATTAATAATTTATTTTAACGCGAGAGTTAAAAAAAAGTGTTTATGTAACATAGGGGCTTAAACTAGAAGTATACGTAATGTAATTAGTGTAAGATTGTAGACGAATACGTCATCCAACTATGAAGCAGCAGTTTATGAAGTAAATTGATGAAAAAAATCGAAAAAAATCAAAGGAAATCAGTCACAGTTAAGCAATGAATATTAAATGCTAGATTGTAAATTTAGTAATTATATGAGTAACTACCAGCAATGAAGAAATTAACTGGTTCTTTCCGATATACCCAATGGGATCCATGGCTTATTGTTGCTCAAATTATTTCATTACAGTGTTTATTATACTTTAGTTTGGGACTAATATTAGCTATATTAGGCTATATTGCAGGTGATACGAGAACCCTGGATCATATATTTGAGTATCATGTAAGGACAAAACATTAGATTAAAAATCATATGTAATAACTGGAATTTTTCTTTATCTATTTTTTAGGAAATTCAGGTTCGTGATTTAAATGGCAAAATGGTTATATTATCCTTTGTACTTAACGCGTTGGTTGGGTGAGTATTTTTTTTAAATTAAATGCAGTGTTTTCATTTATCGGTTTTGTAGAGCTGTGGCCTTGTGGTGGATAGTAGAGAAAACAAAACAGTGTTTAGATTTTAGTTGCACTTGGCATTTTATTCACCTTATAATCTGTTGGTGTTATAACAGCGAGTTTCCCACTACTTTTTCATGGTGGGCATTGAACATAGCTTGTGCAACTTTAATGTGTGTTTGTGGTGAATTTGTTTGCTTAAGGACCGAACTGCAAGCTATACCCTTAAGTTTAGGGCCTAAATCTGATTTGTAGCATTTGCTTTCCACCCATAACAACTTAAGATTTGTTAATGATTGTGTGTGCCAAACACCAATTAAACCCTTCAGTGAGGAACTTTTTGCAGTGACTAATCTCAGGTTAACAGATATCTACAATTCAATACTGAAACTATTTGTTAAGCATAATGTTGTACTAAATTGAAATTAAAAGTATGCCTAATTATGTAATTATGAAGGTGATACAGTACATGTGATAAATTGTAGACAAAAATTAAAAGATAACTAGCCAATTAAACGGTAGCTTTTAATAGGTTTATTGTATTAAATGTTAATATATCTGTCTCCATTTTATGTTCTTTTTGAATATTTAGTCTTTTGTAATTGTATTTTGTTTACCTTAAAAGAAAAAAAGGAATAAAAGAAGTAATACAAAATAAAATTGTTTTAATGAGTAATTCGTAATTGTTTGTCTATATTTTATATTTTTTCTACTCAACACACCTAAAATAAAAACTTGTGGTTATGAATACAATAAAACTTTCTTCTATTAATTCTGATTTATGATTTCTGACTTTCTTTTCTGAATTAATAAACAAATATTATTACAAATGAAGTCTAGTCTAGAAAATTAAAGAGAACATTTCTTTAAAATTAAATCGTAACTGTAATTTTCTATTCCTTCAAGTATGTACACTAATTCGAAGAATTCCAAAACGAAAAATAAAAACTACAGCATTTTAAATTATATTAGACCAATATTCACCTTTTTTGTAGAATAATTCAATGAATGTAACAGTATAAACAGTAAAATTAGGAATGCAGCCAATAAAAATCGAAATAAAAAGAAATATATCAGTTTATTTAAAACAAGTGTCATACAACATGTTTTGATATTTGTTTAGAAGTTATAGTCTTATAAAAATCAAATATACAATCACAGGCTGCTTTACAAAGATCCAGAGCAACTTGAAACTGCTGTAATGTAAAAGAGCCTGTTGTTTGTGATGAAACAACTTTCTTATCGAGACTATCAAATACAAATGTGAATGCAGCTTTTGCATGGTCTCTTTCAATTTGATCTGGATCTAAATGTAGCTCGTTATCTTTATCCACTGTACAATTAACTGCAGCCAAAAGAAACCGCATATCTATTCCAGAATTAAGTAGTGCTGCACATGTAGCGTTTATTGCACAGGCAATGAGCTGAAAAGATATATTCACAGCAAAACGTACTTATAAAAAGGTAAATGACCAAAAACATACCCCTCCATAGTTCTGCATTTCTTGGATAGTAATAACTACAGATGATCTTGGGTATAGTTCACACAATATTGCTGTTTCAATTGAATTCTTTACAATTTGCTCTTGGAGCCTATCACTAATATCTAGGAACAATACAACAGACTAAATAAGTTGATATAAAATCAAATTTGTGTACTGCTCTTACTGGGTAGTCCAGCTTTGGGCCTGAAGTTGACTTCCACTGAAGTTCTGTCTGTTAAAATATTCTGCATTTTTACTTCTACAGGCCCA